AGGAAGTCCGTACTACTCCTTGCGGCCAGACTGAAGGTTGCATTCGAGGATCTTGGTGTTGACATTGTTGACATCAATCAAGGATTTCAAACATGGCTCACATTTACTGCGTCTTCGTTGATTTCAAATGCATCGTTGGCGTATGGGGAGCACTTGATGAAATCTCTATCTCACATGGGAGGTGTCAGAATTTCGAAGAGGCAAGCTCTGGAAATTTTCCGGAACGGCCGCGGCAAGCAATTCAGTATTTATCGCGAAAGAGTTTTTGATGAAGTCGCGAAGAAATGGCTCTTGATCTACAGAGTCACGAAGGATTGCGGAAATGTCGCATACAAAGATTTCTTCGAGAAGGTCGCCGTTCCCGAGGTGAAGGAGAGGAACGAGATCTTTGGATTCTCCCGTGCATCTGCCGAGAAAACTGGAGATATCATCGAGTTCTGGCTTGGTGTCTTGGATGTGGCCAATATGGCCAAAGGAGTCGTGGATGTTTTCAATGCCAGTGTTGATCCAGCTGAGTATCTCAATGGATTGGGAAAGGCATTGGCTCAATTCACATCGACCTCCCGAACCTCGAGCACCATCAATGACAAGAGACGGGGATCCTTCGACTGCACACTGCAAACCGCAGAAGCCGAAAGGGTCATGAAGCTCATCCAGGCAATCCCCGGATATGATTCGCTGGCCAACTTCTGCTGCCTCACGGAATGGGAGAAGGATCAGGTATTCTCTCATTACCGAAGGAAGAACAACATCACAGGGGATGACGCCAGCATGGGCGCTGATGCCGATGCCAAGCCAGGTGACGAGTCGTCGGCTCACCCTGGGGAGGAGGAAGCTGATGAGCCAGCAAACGATCCCACCGATGTGGTCAGGGACTCAGAGAATTCCGGGAAACAACAACTTTTGGATGCGTTGGGAAAACTCTTCACCGTCTCTGAGGATGTCAACGTGTGCTTGTATTGTGGTAGCACCAAACATGGCCATCTTGAATGTGAACATGAGAAGAGAGATGAAGTCAGAAAGGTGCTAAAGGCCGTCCGAGCGTCGCTCGAGGCTGATAGTCCCACATCTGATGACGTCGATATGGAGCCTCCTGAGCACAAGAAGGACGGTTCAGGTGCTACTGAAGGGTCGGGGCAAACAGATGAACCTACAAAACCGAGGTTTAGTGAACACCAGTGGTACGACAGCATCAGGACTATGTCTGAAGTTGGTGACCTCGATGAGTATGGTAGGTTCTGCATAGAAGGACGTGATGTTACAAAGCTGGGACCACAAAACGTTGTTGACCTCAACGAAGTGATCCGAGACGCTATTGTCAGGGGAGGAGGCGACACTTGGTCAGTGCCAGACTTCATGGCAAGCTACTCTGACAACAACATCAGGAAGACCTTCTACAAACGAGTCGAAGCGCCGCAAGATGGTTTCTTGAAAATCATCCCGACAACAGGGGCCCATTTCTTCAACTGCCCTTACTTTGGCGGTGTAGAATATGCTGCCAACTACCGCTTCGAGACTGGCAACCGACTCGACACCTACGAGGACAAGGTGAGTACATCACTAAACAGGATCCTGCGGCACAACGTGGGGAAGGTATCAGAGCAGCAGAGTCTGTCCTGTGATGACGCCGGCTGGGTGCCCATCGAGGAGGTGCTCAAATGCGAGTCCATCTGGAGGCACGAGCATGCACGCTGGCCACACGTATTCCTTGCCCCAAAAGGGAGAGCAAATGATCAGAGTGCATGGAATGTCAAGGAGGCGAACCACCGCATGACATTGCTCTTCAAGATCATGTTCCACTGTGCCCGGTATGGACGTCGTGTGCGTGAACAAGTCTTGGCATTTGGGATCAACAAGGACATTGATCGCCGCAGCCTGACATGCATTGACAACAATGTCGAAGCGGACACGCACATCCCTGATGAAGGTCTACTGCTCTACCCAGTGGCGGTCCGTGCTCCGACGTTTCATTGCTGTCCTCGTTGCTTTCACATCCAATCGCACCCAACACCATTTTGTCATTACCGGTCTGTTTCCACATCACCAAGAAGACCAACCTCCGAAGCATTTGGAGGCAGGGATTAATTCCAGGAGGTCTTGGAGAAGGTCATCGGATGTTCACGTTATTCAACCCGTATGTGCCATGGGATCATAGATCATGGACCATCACGAAGAGCGTTGATACGCGCAAGGGTGACTACATTTGCTTGTTCATCCCGACCGAGACCTTGATGGTGGAATATGGCGGTCGACTAACTGACTCGGGACAGATCATTTCACCAAGGATCATCCCGTTCTCGGCAATCAAAGGAGGATGGATTCAGGACCCCAAGGACCAATACAACAAGACATGGCTCCGGTTGTTCGTCCCGTCGGGCGACGACCAGGTAGTCCGGTCTGGAACTATCAAATCAAGAACGGTAGCCACCAAGGAGTCCATCCTGAGGGTTGCAAGTCAATGCATCGACGCCGAAGACCAACCGTATGACGAAATCGCCATGGATGCCATGAACATCGTCAACCAGTTCAAGAACAACCTCATCGAGCCTGGTGGACAAGAGCAATACCTGGCCCGCATCAAGCTGATTGACTATATAGTCGAGCGCAAAAGGGTGCAAACGTCAGGTTGTCGTCATTGTCCTCACTGTCTCAACGAGACGCCGACCAAGCTAGCAGTGTGTCTAGTCTGCTGGACGGAACTTGAAAGTTGTGGAATCCGTCCATATCGGCTACAAGCTCCTGAAGACGACGAAGATGAAGCAACAAAGAAAGAGATCGATGAAGAAGTTCGTCGACAAGAAGAATCGTTGTTTAAGGACACGGTCAACCAAGCACAAGAAAACGTATCCGAGTCCAACGACTATGGCTTCAATCCTGACGAGGTCGACTACAATGAAGGCGATGATGAGGAAATGGATCAGGAGGAGGAAGCTCAACAGGAAGACGACGAAATCGTTGAAGAAGAAGACGATGAAATGGACGTCGAACCTGAAGATGATCCTTCTTCCAAACTTCCAGCGTGGACTAAGAATCTTGAGAGCGGAAGCAAGGGTATGCCGGAAGACGGACTTATCAACAATGACGTCTCCGAGGCCGCGGCTCACTTGTATGACAATGCTGTCATGTCAAAGGTCATCACAATGTTCAGGCTCTACTATAAGCAAAGGGTCACTCTGACCCCAGAGGAGTACTACGAGATGATGACGGAAACCAAGCGAGTCCGGCTGGACCTGGACGACTTCTGCCCCTACACAGGCGACCGACGGAGCTGGAGTTGGACGAACTCTTTCAGGAGAAAGGGAAAAGGAACTCATGGTCAGAGGGAGAGAAGATGTACTCAGGACGACCAAGAAACATGATGATGCCCGTCATCAAGACCTTGGAGATCTATGAAAAGATGATGGAATTTCTGGTACGCGCCGGGTACACTCCCGAGTCATTAGGTTTCCTCATGCCAATGAACCGAATGCAGGCTGATGCCCAAGGGAAGCAGGAGATGCGAGTAACCATCAGCAACTTTCTTCGACGACTGCTGAAAGGAACCTTTCCAGAACATGAATCATACACATTCTTTCGTTCCGGGAGCCACGGCTTCCCCAACTGCATTGAACTCCCAGCTTTCTCGGTATATCTGAGTCTGAGGGAGAAAGAACAGAGAGTGGAGTTGCTCTTTGCCGCCCAACAATGTGGCATTCCTCTACCTCAAAACTTTGTCAGCAAGATGGCTTATGCTATTCAACTGGCTGAGGCCGAGGCGCAGAGGGGAAAGACCGAGATGAAAACGAAGATGGCTCCAACCCTTGGCGACGAAGTGGTGAGTGAAGTATTCAAAGCGGTCGGACATACTGCCGCTTCCAAGTTTACCACCGCAGCCAAATCATCAGCACAACCTTCACAGAAACCTGAAGGCACTGGTTCAGCATCATCCTCATCGGCCAGCGCGCCAAAGGCTAAGGCTATGCCGAAATCCTATGAACCATCAAAGGCACCGCCTGCGAAGCCCTCATCGCCGAAAGCTGCTCCGAAACGTGCGGCAGGATGGGAGAAAACTCCAACAACACCTCAATGGAAGAAAGTCCGCCGTGAGCAGTGAACCTATTACCTCTGTCCGTCAAAATGATCACTGGACTATAAGATGTGTATCGTCTTTGTGAACAGATGATCAGGAAAAGACCAACTGAGTGGACTCTGAGCGAGGCATTAAACTAATTCGCTTAGGTTCAAGACTTTTGATATTCCCAATCTGCACGAAATTCTGCAATGTGCACGTGAATTCGTTAGTTAGCATTGTAAATCTTTGTTAGCGAAGCGATCCATTTCTCCCGACGGGTGAGTGGCAAGCTTAGCCAACGTAGAAAAGTAGATGTTAGCTAGCAATAATTCGCGTTGTACAGTTTGATGAAGCGCCGATGCATCGACAGCCAGAGAGTAGGCGAACCCTGAACCATTATTCCCGTCGGGCATGTGGGGAAGGGGGAGCCGAATGGCATGTTTTATGTACATAGGCGTAATTCAAGTAGCAGAAACAATACAATTCAAAGTTCCCTCTCTCGTGTCCGTGGTTCGAAGAATACCACGGGCATGGGGGGTGTCAAAGGGAACTAAACGCTAGGACACTTGTGATGCACATACACCATTGTGCATCTGGACGCCGTACTGGCTCAAGTCCATGCGCGAGGAAAAGTGTGAGCTCCGCCTGCCATGCCGTACCATTGTCCGGTAATACCAGCATAACAGGTATCGCAAATCAGTAACTACATCCAGAACAAGGATCCATTTGTTCACAATATCATAGTAATAGTAACAATAGTAGGAATAATAGTAATAGTAACAAAACACAAAAAACAAAACAAAAACAACAACAATAATAGTAAGAATAAAAATAATAACACTGATAATAACAATAACAATATTCATATGTGATCATTTCAACCGGCATTTTTTTCCGTTGAGGTTTCGGCACCTCGGTCCGACAGACTGCCACTGGACGTGGGCCCAACATGACCAACCCAGGCCACCGGTTTGCCACCGGTTTGCGGAAGCCAACAGGGCGACTTTTGCCAAGCAAAATGCTAGAAAATGGGGGGTTTCAGTGATGTAAGCATGAAAAATCGTGAGAGAATGGGGATTTCAGTGATTTAAACATCAAACAATGTGGATTTCACTGGATTTCACCAATGAATGGTGGATTTGATCAACAAAAATGGGGAACAATCATTGCAAACCAACCATGATGGGCACTCAATGGGATACATACAACCAACCATTTCATGAAGCACGAAATTGCAAAACATGGGGAACATGATCACCGGGATGTTGGGTACCATTCGACTCAACAGAGAGAATGTGACCTTGTGAAGGCTGCATTTTTTGCACCAAAATTTGGCTTGTCCAAAAGCGGAGTGTCTATGCCATCTATGCTTCCAATTCCATGGGGGTTTCGGTTTACCACGATTTGACGTTTTTTTTTTTAACTCTGTAAATTAACATAGACCCTGAAAATTGACTGAATTTCTACACTTTTGAGTGAAAAGTAATCTTCCAACCCCCCGACTTTTGGCAGTGTCGAACGTGTTCGGCCAGGCCCAGGCTCGTACAATCAGAGCCCGAGATTGGGTGAAGGCCCAAAGTACACAGCTGTCGGCAAACGTGGAGGACACCTGCAGGGTTCATTGATCGAATCGTATAGCAGCTAGCATGTTGATTCAACAAGTGGATTTAAGCAGCAAACCTAGGGATTTAACCAACCTCTATGATCCTAAATGTAGATAAAAAAATTGTGACTTGACAGGCAACCATGGGGATTTAGACTACATTCCTTGAACGTTGTTGGCTTATCAGGCTATTTTCACCTATGGCTAGATCTGTATTTAGTTGAGCTCCTGCTATGAAAACACGGATAGATATTGAAAAGTGGAATCAGAACAATCATTAGAGTTTGGTTTATCTGAAAACAGGGCACCTCAGAATTACAGGTTCAATCATTGTTTTCTCAGTTGGCCATTAATTGAGGTGTACCCAATTTTGCCAAATCAATCTAATCGCAGGGATTCTAGACTGGGAATCCAGGTTTGCTACTGATACATCTGTTATTAGCTCACATTTTCCTGCCAAACTGTAGCGAGGTAATCGCAAGCATTGTGACAACCAATGGGAGTTGAATGGGCGCGTCGGTCCAAGCTTTCACCAGTCTCGCATGACACTTGAAAAGTGGTGGAACATTACCCTGAACAAGGGAAACTGGACTTTTCCGATTCTCGGATGGGACAATTTACACGTAGTACAGGAAACCTTGAGATCTGGGGGCAGACGCCAGTTTCGTTCGGCCCACGGGAGGTCCACCTCCCGTCTCGGCCAGGATACAAGAGCTCAGACGTCCCCGGGCCCGGCGCGTGCTGCAACCAGGGGAAGCCGCAAGCTGCATGGAGTCTCATTTTTGTGTGAGGGAAGCAACGGAAGAAACATTTTGGCTAATAGCCAGGTGTGGAAAATGTTTGGGTAGTGCAAACATCAAGACAACTCTCGAAGAAGACTGAGCGGTTTCCCTGTGTTGGGTCTTTGACAACCATCGAATGGATAGGAGGAGTCGGCGCACTCCCCGAAGTTGGATCAGGGATTGACGAGACAAAAAACCCAAGCAAGAAAATTAGGACCCGCACAACGACAATTAATTCCCAGAGTTGACATAAGACATCAAGAATGTTGGGGAAACCTTGGTTTGGTAGATTGACTTTTGGTGATTTCTCTGGGATCGTAGGATCTTTTCTCTACCATGGACCATCGTGCCAACATGTTTTATTTTTCTCCAGGGCATCATGACATGAGCAATGTAATGTCATCCCATTGGGGTCAAAAAAACTATCCCGCTTTACAGACTTTCTCTCGTTGGTGCTGTAAAAAAGCTGTGGGATGATGACCTGGCAGGTACCAGGCGGTGGAAGGGACCATGGATTTCACCTCGCCGGGGCATCTCAGGAAAAGGGGCGTGCCAAAACTTGGGCAGATTTGAAGATGCGGAGAGTCAGCAAATTTCGAAATATCAATTTTTGGGATACAGTACACCCGCTGCAAGGATTCCTGTGGAATGGATTTTACCCGGATGACCATACCGTTTTTGCACCATGTTTTGTCCATGGCACATTTGGGTTTTGATGGTGAAACTATGGGGGTCACGGATCACCCCATTTTTCCCATTTCTCCCATGAAAAGGGTCGTAGATTGAGGATCAATTCCCCAATTTTCGGATAAATCCACATCACAAAAAGTTCACTACATCATATCAATCATATCCCATTAGAATCATTAGATTCCCATTTCATAACCCTTACAGAATGATATATATATATATACAGTATATAATATCCCCATGCTGGTGGGTTAATTTCGCCTCCGCTTGGAGAGTCCTGAAATTTTGTTCACCGTCGTCCCGTCCAGGTCCTCGACCCGTCTGCCAGCACATTCGCCCAAGTGGGGCTTTGGCACCTCCACTCGGGAGGTGCCGCGGAAATCCCGGTCCCGAGGGGGCCCTTGGGGGCCCGTGGTTGGACAAGCCCATCGAAGGATGGTAATTAAATATTTTAAAGTGGGTGGAAACATGACCATGAATATTTTGCTTTTATATGCTAAACTACGTTTCAAGATGGGAAAAACCCTTCGAAGATAGGAGGTCTAGTTGGTTGAGATGGGAAAGAAGGGAGGGAACTATGATGTGCGAGTTGTGTTTTGTTTTGAAGCTGTAGTAGTTGTAGTAGTTGTAGTAGTTGTAGTAGTTGTAGTAGTTGTAGTAGTTGTACTAGTTAGTAGTAGTTGTAGTAGTTGTAGTAGTTGTAGTAGTTGTAGTAGTTGTAGTAGTTGTAGTAGTTGTAGTTGTAGTAGTAGTAGTAGTCGTGGTGGTGGTGGTGGTTTTTGTTCTTGTTGTTGTTGTTGTTGCTGGTGTTGTTGCTGGTTTTGTTCTTTTTCTTCTTGTTGTTGTTGTTGTTGTTGTTGTTGTTGCTGTTGTTGTTGTTGTCGTTGTTTTGGTTGTGGTTGTGGTTGTGGTTGTGGTTGTGGTGGTTGTGGTTGTTGCTGTTGCTGTTGCTGTTGCTGTTGTTGCTGCTGCTGCTGCTGCTGGTGCTGTTGCTGTTGCTGTTGGTGTTGTTGTTGTTGTTGCTGCTGCTGCTGTTGTTGTTGTTGTTCTTCTTCTTCTTCTTGTTGTTGTTGCGGTTGTTGTTGCTGCTGTTGTTGGTTTGTTGGTGTTTTTGGCTATGGGGCGTGACATTTGGATGAAGGTTTGTTGTTGGAAGATTGCGTTACCTAAATCTTGGAGTTGGCGTAAGGATAGATTTCCTAGTTTGGATCTTTCACGCATTTTCCAAAACTATCTCAGTGCGGAAGATGAAGTGCCGACAGGACTTTAGATGATAACTGTCAAATCAACCCAGATCTGATGTTGGAAAATGAAAGGTCGTTGCAAGGGTCTTTGCCGCCATTCCACAGGTGCAGAGCCCGAATCAAACGCCAGGCCCCTTTGCTGGGGACCGGGGTTGTAGGAAGAACGGGTTCAAAGTTCGGAACTTGCGGGGTTGAAAGCGGATTGTAACAGGTGTGTTTTGCTTTCCACTGAGGTAAGCATGAAAAAATGCACCCGTGGTGTGAGAGAAAGATTCGTTGCAGGCCCCGGCGCATATGATGGCCGCGGGCAAGCCAAAGGACATCGAACTGGAGGGGTGAGGATGGTAGAAGTATGAGTGTTTAGAGAGATTTAATGCTGGGGCCCGGCGTATATATAGTTATATATATATATATATACACTGTATATACACATACTGATGATATAACTATGGTATATCTCCGTATCAATGTGTATGTGTATCCACATAGATACACCCACCATGATGGGGGTACAGTTTGATATAATCTGAGAGGATATCAGGGGATTCGTTTGAGATACATATCACCAAAGCAGATAAGATAGGTTTCTCCAGAAATGGGGATGGTCTTTATCGGCTTGACAGGAAGCCCGAAGTATTCGATGCGACCCAAGGTGCCGATGCGCAGGACAGAGTTGAGAATGGCACTGGAAATTCATCGTTTTTATCCACATTTTTTTGTTGAGGATCACGGCAGAATATGAGGAAATGGGTACCAACAAATGTTTATAGAGTCTGGTCTTTTTTCTTCAATGACTGTGGAGCAAGTGATTTTGAATCATGTGTTTCCTTTGAACCACTCCATAGTGAAATAATGTATGCAAGTGCTGATCAGTAGCATCCCTCCCATGAGGGATGTGGACTTGAAGTGTTGGTTGTGCATCCAATGACCATGGGGATTGCGCAACAGTCATTCAGGCCGTGTGTCTGGGTGACCTTCCTCGCAACTGTAAGTCTACATACTGCTTGCGGAGTCTATTGGTGCGCTTTGCGTGTGTATGCATCCATCCTGAATCTGCACTCTCCCTCAACATCCATGCTGCCATGCTCGTCAGAGATGCCGGTACAGCAAGTGCGACAATTTTGCAATGCCTCTTGCAACCCTGTGCCACTGGCGTTGCCTTCGAAAAGTCAAGAATTCAGCATGTAGCCTTCACCTTTCATCATAGCTCCATAGAAAATAGACACTTTTCCGAGTCATCATTCGTTGGTTTTCAACCCCAAGCTGAATTGAAACATATGGAGGTTTCCTAAAATGGGGGTACCCTAGATCATCTAAATTAGACCATGAATTAGTATTGAAACCTATGGCGGCAGCCTGGAGCGAGGCAGATGTGGTCTGGGAACAGGTGGCTGGGAAAGGGTATCCTCAAAAAAATTGGTTGATGAAGGTTAAGGCTATGCCTTTTTTTTGGAGGGTAGAGAAATTCAGGGAAGCGCAACCTTGGCCATTTTCGGATGTGCGCTTGCTGTGCCCTCCCCAAGTATCTGAGCCAGACGATTGACCAGCTTCTCACATGAAGTGGGCCCAACCGATGGATTCCCAGGTCTTCATTTTCATGTACGCCATGGTCATGTGTCGCAGAGGGGAGACCCCCAATTCTGGTTGATGATATCAATTCCCCCGTGTTTGGTTGCACTCCTCCACTTTTGGTTGGTTGCATTCCCATTCTTGCTCTCCACTATCAGAGGGAAAGCATGGGTTCCGCACCAATCTCCAAAAGTGACCCAAAAGGATCTCTTGGATCTTTGGCTCATAGCAATCTTGGCTTACCAGTTGTAGCCTCATTCTGCCAACTCCATCGTTTCTACACAGAAATCCCCAATCGTTTCTCGGCTTTCGTTGTAGCGCGGGGACCGCCGATGTCGGTCGTGAATTCCTGGGGATGATCGAAAAGGGCAGTGACCCGAGTCAGTCGCAATACCCGGCCCTGGCCGTGTTTTTTTTTCTGAGGCAAATCATCCGCAACCAAACAACTAACCACTATTTTCAAAAGAAAAATAACATAGGAATACATAAACAATCATTACCAACCTATCAACCACTATTAACCATTATTAACACATGCTAATCCTTTGTACCAAGGACCATGGCCCGCCATTCTTTGCGAATGCTTTGGATTGCCTGGCTTTTCTTTCGCATCGCCTGCGCGATGCGCGACTCGGTGCAGTTGGACATAATATATGTATGATATACGTGCATGCAGGTGATGTATAGCATGATGATGCATGATGTGTGTATAAAATCATATGAATATGTTTTGCTATGTCATATTGGTATGTCTGTAATATGGTGTAATGTAATGTAGTGTAATGAAGTGTAGTGTAGTCTAATGTAATCTAATCTAATGTAATGTAATGTACTGTAATGTAATGTAAGATAATGTAATGTATGTATATTTTGGATATGTATGTACAGACAATATCGATTACATACAGATTTTGCATGACATGCAATATACATGATGTGAAAGAGCATACTACATATATATATATATATACATCGTAATATGTATATATATATATATATAGACAACATATAAAGATGGATGTGAGTGTTATAAAGAGAGCCCTTTGAGTATACGATATCATACGCAGTTCTATATAATTTATGCTATGGATCCATGGAACGAAGGTGTATGGATATCTGCAGCTTTTCCCTATGTTTGTTGCTGACATTTGTTGATGGCATTCACAACCACTTTAGGTCGTGGCACAATGCCACTCTTGTTAGTTGATGACACGATGCACGGGGTTTGGAGACCTCAGCAAATGGAGATTGCGAGGAGCACATTGGCATTTTTGCCACTGAAATGGAAATGATGGGGGGTGGTTGGGCAGATATATATGAGCAGGGACCCCCACACCCCCCCCCCAGCCAGATGGTCCCCCCCCCCCTGTGGCAGGGGAGGGGGGGTTTCTCAGCAGCCAGGGAAGGTGATGCATCTTATACGCAAAATATATAGCTCAGTGCAAGGAGTGTGCCAGCAATGTCCAAGGTACTGCGTGAGCAGCACTGGTGAGTATACATAGAAATCATGGTGTACGTAGTCTTTATAGTGCATATAGTGCATATGTATCGATAATTAGAATGGATATACTATATGTAATATAGAGTGTATGTGTGGTGTATATATATATATGTATATAAACATATATATATAATATGTAAGATATAAATAGAATATATGCAATATTATTTGATATATATATATATTGAACATATATATATATATATCGTATATGTGGATTTTGATAGAATATAGAAGGTATATGCCACATGTACTGTATCCACAGTAGATGTAATATATACAATATAGGTAAATATGTTCGTTGAATAAATTTTACATAGTATATGTGGTATATTGAATATCGACAGCAATACACGCTGTATATCTAGAGTTTATGTATATATATGTATATATATATATGCATATATATATGTATATATATATATGTATATATATATACACGTGTACAGTATGTACAATGTAAACGAAATATGTGATAGATACAAGATCAAGATATCAATATGTAGTATCTAGAATGTGCATATATATATATTTATTGTTTTTCTACTGTACATATGTCTAGGTTTGCATAGGTAAGCTTTGCGTAATCCATAGGTAGCAAATATGTTGTAAACCATGTGCGAGGCACGCTATAGGCGGTTCGAAAAAAAGGTTATGATAGAAATATACAGGTAGACAAGGTCCGTTGACGAGGTCGTGGCTCTCAAGTGCTGCAAATAACGTAGAGATGCGAGGTTGGAGGGGTGGAAAGGGGAGTATATATGTGTATATGTGTATGTATATGTGCAAATAACATGCAAATACTAGGTTTTGGGGGGGTGGGGGGGGTTAGGAGTGGGGGGGGGATACCATTGGGGGGTGTGGGGGTCCGGGGACCGGGCTCATATATATATAAATAAATAAATATAAACTAGTTAAATTTCTTGGAGATCCAGGCGAAAATCGACGGAAAATCAGGATGGATCTCCCCCCGAGGCGAGAACGCCCATGCGGGCCTCTTGCACTCGATGAGCGCCTTCGACAACCTCTCGGCGAACGTCTCAGCGAACGTCTCGGCGAACGTCTCGGCGAACGGCACGCTTCGTGCTGTGGCGAACGCAACGGTGGAAGACATGCTGCAGGAAATGGCACAGCAGCAGGCCATAGACCGATGGGAGGAGGGACGGGTGCTAGATGTCTTGGAGTTGTTATATTGGCTTTCCCAAAATGTAGTTGGAAATTGTGGGCGATTTTGGGATGATGAATTTGTATTTGAAGGGTGTTTCGATCGAATGATTTAAATTTCCTCGGAAACACTGGACCTGCAAAAAAGAAAGGATACACAACCTGTGGTGTTTGATGACAGCAATGGTTTTGAGATCCAGAGGATACTTGGGGCAACACACACAATGTTGGCCACTTGTTGGAACATTGATTTCAGGAAAGATTCACAGGGTTTACCGAATATAGTAAACCCCATGATATTAGATGTTTGGATGTTTTGAAACTATATTGTCATGGGGTAAACTATATTACCTAATAGTTTAACCGCCTATTTCATAGGTTTTTTAGATGTTCCCGAAGATTTGATGTTAAAAAAGCTGGATCTCCCGAAACGGCTCAGTCGCCAAAAAACAAGACGTCCTAGGCGAAAAGTGAGCTGCAGCCCTTCCCTGATGATCCCTTCAAGGCCATGATACGGGTCTGTCAATGGGGTATGGGTCCCAATGATCAACCAATGGATGGGAGATATTTAGAGGTGCCCTATTTTTAGACAAACCCTTTTGACGGGATATATATATATATATATGCATGTGTATATGTATATATGATAGATGACCATAGAACATCAACCAACATACAGAGATAACAGCCAACAGACAGAGATCCAAGATGACAATTGAAGATCATGGTGATGATGGTGTTGATGGTGACGACGACGACGATGATGATGGTGATGATGATGGTGGCGATGATGATGATGATGATGATGATGATGATGATGATGTTATATTTATACATATATATAATTATATATATATACTCCGGATTGAACATACATGGCTCTAAATATTGAGTTGCGCCATCTATGTCAAAGGCAACATATAGGGGATAGATGGCGCAACTCCATTTTCAAACAAGTAGTTCGCACCATGCATGTCCCTAAAGATGACCCATTTTTTTGCAATCTTCTGCGCTGGTTTGCACCCAATGTTTTTTCCTCAACATCAAACTGCCTTTGGGGGACATAGATGGCGCAAGTCCCACTCATTCGCCAAGATCAGGCTGGAAATGCCGACATAGATGGCGCATCTCCTTTCATCCTGAGGAATAAATATGCCCCAAAAATGGGGCCTGTTTCCAAACTATTCCAAACCACATAGATGGCGCAAGTCAGGCAAGGGCTTGATGATGAGAACAAAAGCCTGTTTCCAAATGCGTTTGCCAATGCCAACCCCTCGGCCTGCTGAACTTCCATGTATGGGACGCGCATGGATGGCGCAAGTCAGGAAAGGACTTGATGATGAGGACAAAGTTCTGTTTGTAAATGTGGTTGCCAACGCCAAGCCCCCTCAGCCTGCTGAACTTCCATGTTTAGAACGCACATAGATGGCGCAAGTCAGGAAAAGGCATGATGATTTGGACAGGACAAAGTTCTGTTTGTAAATATGTTTGCCAATGCCAACCTTCCTTGGCCTGTTGAGGAATGTTGGGAGGTATGAGGGACTTGCGCCATCTATGTGGGCATTCCCAGCCTGATTTTGGCGAATGAGTGGGACTTACGCCATCTATGTCCCCTTACTCAGCCAGTGGCTGAACTTTAGCCTCTGTTTTTCTTGGGTTCGCGCCGCGCGCGCGGGAAGGGTATGGTTGTTGGTATGGTATGGTATGGTACGGTACGGTATGGTATGGTACTGTGTGAATGAATGTATGTATGTATGTATGTATGTATGTATGTATGTATGTATGTATGTAATGTATGTATGTATGTATGTATGTATGTATGTATTGTATTGTATTGTATTGTATTGTAATGTAATGTAATGTAATGTAATGTAATGTATGTATGTATGTAATGTATGTATGTATGTATGTATTGTATTGTAATGTAATGTAATGTAATGTAATGTATGTATGTATGTATTTATATCATACAAAACCCATTGAACCCATACATAACCAACACTCTTGATGTTTCTGTATGTTGGTTGATGTTTTCCACTCTTTATATACGGGGCATATACAAAACCCATGGAATTGGAATCGCAAAAAAGTACCATGATTAGAATGATTAGGGTAATTTTCCCATATGTTTTTGACAATACTAAAATGGACGGACAGTGGTGAAAGCAACTGTTTCCAAACGTGTTCGATTTCTGCTAGTGGGTCTAAATGTCCCATTTTTTACTCTATACGTGCTGGTAAACTTGTGAAATAGGAGATGGCACGGAAAATCATTAATATGATTTTACCATTGCCAGGGTTGTGAGGGTATGGTAAAATTGATGCTTCCTCAAAAGAGAGCCACGAGAACTTGGGAGCAACTGTCCAATAGAGCAGCTGTCCACTCTCTCTCTCTCTCTATATGTATACATATATACGTGTAGGAGTAAATTTATTGGTGAATAGGTTTCTTTCGCAACCATTACCCTCAGTCTCCAAGATTTGAATCATGTCTTGCAGCTGATGTAGATAGTCTTAGTGGAACCCTTCGAGTATTGAAACTGCAGTGTACCGCTGCAGGATGATCCATGGTTCCAGAAACGCAGAGATCCAAACTATGACCCCTTCAAGGACCACTGCCCTTTGCACAGCCTAACATTTTCTTTTTCATTTACAAATGGGTGATTGATCATGATGATAACCGATAACCTTCAGTTGGGATATAACCCCTATACCTATGGTCACCTATCCCACTTTAAGTGGAATTGCACTCCCAAGGATGGGACAATACCTATGTGACCACTTGGTAGGGGGATGACGGACCAGAGTTTTAATCTATGCCCATAGTTTCTTGTGCTGTGCAGTTGTTTGCCATCACTTCAACTTGTGCTGCCCTGCTGAGCTCAGTCGTCATTTTTTGGTGTCAGCCCGAAGCCGTTGAACTAAGGACGATCCTTGGAAAAACAGGAACGATCCCTTCAACAACCGCAACAAAGATCCCTTCAACAACCGCAACAGCCCCAGCCCCAGCCCCAGCCCTCCGAGCAGTGATCACAGTTGGTCAGGTGGCTCGGCGCTGATCTGTGGATCCCAGGAACTGCAGTGCGAAGAAGCAATGGACAATGGGGACTAAGACTAAGAGTGTGTGGGGGGACACCAAAATCATCCCAAAATCATCCGAAGCATGGACATTTATGATGTAATTCTGGGACATTACATCGTTTTAACAGTTTCTTGGGCCCGGTTTTTGGGAAAGATCTAGTGATGCCATGATGCAATCCTGTTGGATCCACACTGACAATTGGCGCCCCGAATTCAAATTTGTTTGTTATATAAGCTATATATCATTGAATGGAATGGCAATAGTAAAATGGGGTAGCCCAATTTTGAGAACCACACTTGGGTGCGTGATTTGGTGCCGCCCTGCAGACAGGGATGATGGGTTTTTCAGCAGCAAACCAATGGAGCTCGCGTGCTGAAGTTATTAGGCCTTGCAGTGGGTAGCCTCAACTTGAGCGCCTTAAGAACGACATATAGAAACCAAATTTGTTGATAAAATCAATGAAATCGGAAGTAGCACCATTTACCTCTCCCTGGTCCAATTTCTCTCCATAGCTAGTTCACTCAGTTGTGTGTGTGTGTGTGGGTCATTTCCCAGGAAACTAGAAGGGGTTCTTTTTCCCATCCATTCCACTATACATATGTGTCTAACATGAAGGGGTTCTTTTTCCCATCCATTCCACTATACATATGTGTCTAACATACATATATATACATATATATATATATGAATGATTCTAGGACCAGATGAAATCTCCATATATGCCATATTGATCACACAATCCCACAATATCTTTCCGACATACCCACTCGGATGATCCAAAATTGGCATTTTCATAGGAAAAGAACAATGATAAACCAGTGGTTTGAGGTTTTTCCCAAGATTTTCAGATAGCCCCAAATTACTTTGTTGCCTCCGATTATCAAAGAAAGTTTAGTTAGACAACTTCCAAATTGCGGACGATGGTCATGTTCAGCATCAGCATGTCAACCACATTATCATGTCAACCACCCATCATCAAGTAGTTGGGAAGTATAACAGTTCTTAAGCGCGTGAATTCACGGGTGAAAACATTCCCCGGCGCGAAACCTTGTGTTTTTCGGGCATGGTGGCTCCTGGCGTCGCGAAAGTAGGGTCTGTGTTTCCGCGGTTCCAGGCCTCGATCTGGGAAAGCCGTCATGAGATGGTAGCGAGAGCTCGATTTCACAAAAAAAATGGGAAAAAACATCAGGGGGTCGGAGCAGCCCCAAAAAGTCCGCACAGACGCTCCTGCCACACGGGTTTGCAACTGACATGGCCACAGGCCGGCCAGGCCTGGACGGGAAAGGCAATCTTCCTGCAAGGTCTATGGATATGATGGGATGCGCGGTTCGACATACAGTGGGAACTACAAGAACTCTAGGGGACCATAATGGGATATAGTAGGGGTATCATGGGGTATAGGTGGGATAACCAATTTCATATGATCTTTGGCTGGAGGTGGGAAGGGTTGGAATTTGAAAAAATGGAACTTGAAAAGTTGGTTGTTGGATGGGGCGAGATGTACAGTGTATGTTTCTTGGGGGTGCACCTCCATCAATGTGCGCCGTTGGGTGGCAGGTGGTGGTGGGCACATGTTAATTTGCTTATTATGTTGGCCAATTTGGAGGATATCCCCAGGTACAGGATCCATTGGTTCATTGCCAGGACTCATTGATTCATTTGTTCATTGGTTCATTGATGCGTCGATTCACTGATTCATTGCTTCATTGATTCGTTGATTCAGTGCTTCATTGATTTATTGCTTCATGGAATCATTGATAATGGGTTCATTGCTGTCTTGATTCCTAGTTCATTGTTTCATTGGTGCATTGATTCCTTGTTTTGTTGAATCATTGGTTCGTTGATTCATTGATACAATGTTTCATTGGCTCATTTGTTTATTGAGTTATTGAGACTTATCGACTCACTACTTCACTCATTCGTTGCTTCATTGATTCATTGCTTCGTGGCTTCATTGGTTCACAGATTCCTTGATTTATTGATTCATCGATTCATTGATTCATTGCTTCGGTGCTTCATTGGTTCACAAACTCCTTGATTGATTTGATTGATTGATTGATTGATTGAGTGATTGATTGATTGATTGATTTGATTGATTGATTGATTGATTGATTGACTGATTGATTGATTGTTTGATTGTTTGATTGTTTGATTTGATTTTGATTTTGATTTGATTTGATATGTTTGCTTGATTGATTGATTGATCGATTGACTGATTGATTGATTGATTGATTGATTGGTTGATTGATTGATTTGATTGATTGATTTGACTTGACTTGATTTGATTTGCTGTGGTGGTTTGATTTGATTTGAATTTGATTTGATGGATTGATTGATTCATTGCCTCGTTGATTCATTGACACAATGGTTTGTTCCCTGATTCATCGAGTATTGTTTCTTTGATTCATTCAGTCAGTTGTGCATGGATTCTTTCATGTCATTTCACTGGCATCTCAACCACCATTTGCTCATTCGGTGTTGCACTTCACAACTTCAACATTTCGTTGTTTTTGCATTTCACAAACTTTCCTTTATAGGCAATCCTCTTCCTGTAGTGGTTTCAAATTTTCGAAACTTCCGCCCCGTCAGGGCCGGGCACTACCTGGTAGATCTGATTATATTCATTGGGTATATAAGATGTGCATCCCCATGATCCAGTCTAGATCCCCGAGGCCATGAACATCACTATCATCGTGCCGCAGCTGCAGGGGTTGGTGTATTCGCGGTCTTTTGGATTATCTGGCCACTTGGATTTGGACAGGGCAAAAGGGGGCCAAGTCCCAGGGAAGAGATCCTTGAAATTGGTCTAATCCCCAATTTTTGAGAATCCTCAATTTTTGACGGGAAAATATGGGAAAATCATTAGGCAATCACTGGATGTAAGTGCCACAAAAATGGGAAATAAACAAAAATGGGATATAAACAATTTACGGCAATTTCACAGGAAAATTGAAGATGGAACCATCTGACATTTGATGGGGTCCTCTCGTGATAGCTAACCTCCCAAAACGGTGTTCCAAAAATGGTGTTCCGGTGCGTTATTTTTGGGAGTCTCATCTGTTTGTATTCAGGAGTGTTTCATTGTTGCTCACATGATTTCAAGACCGTAGGCTTGGTCAACAGGGAAATTCGTCCCCTTTGGACATACGCACGTGACGTCAAGTCAAAAGCACATGGGACGTCTTTGGTTTTCTGGATGAAATGGTAACAATTCTACTTCTAAGAGGCTGTTTTTGTACTGGACACGGTCTCTGATTCTTTGCGCGGTGCAGAAAACTCACCCGTTGAAGGATTATACCGTATGCCTCAACTTCCTACTTTGGAATGAGCGGCCCAAAGTGAGAATTTGGTATCCCAAATTTCTTTGACAACGGTGCAACGGAGCTTTTCCAACTGGATCCCAACCGTTCCCATAGCCAGCATCAGGGCCAGCTTCTTTTGCTGCATTTGCTGCATTCCAACTTGCATCCTTTGCCGCGGCCATTTCAAGGCCGAATCGGACTGGAACTCTGGATGTCGAAGATCGGCACTTGAAAATTGAAATAAAAGGACCGGATAACCCCACATGTCAAGCCTTTATGTATGTAAGATTTTAATGTGAACTTCGGGGAGGTGTGAGAAGTGAGGTGTGAGAAGTGGACTTGTGATGCCAGGTGTGAGAAGTGGAGCTGTGATGAGTTCTGATGTGATAAGTGAGGTGTGAGAAGGGGTGTGAGAAGTGGAGCTGTGATGAGTTGGGATGTGATAAGTTGTGATGAGTTGTGATAAGAAGTTGTGATGTGATAAGTGAGGTGTGAGAAGTGAGGTGTGAGAAGTGGAACTGTGATGAGTTGGGATGTGATAAGTTGTGATGAGTTGTGATGAGAAGTGGACCTGTCAGAAGTGGAGCTGTGATGAGTTGGGATGTGATAAGTTGTGATGAGTTGTGATGAGAAATGGACCTGTCAGAAGTGGAGCTGTGATGAGTTGTGATGAGCAGTGGAGCTGTGATGAGTGAGGTGCGAGAAGTGGAGCCGTGATGAGTTGGGATGTGATAAGTTGCGATGAGTTGTGATGAGAAGTGGACCTGTGAGAAGTGGAGCGGTGATGAGTTGTGATGAGCAGTGGAGCTGTGATGAGTGAGGTGTGCGAAGTGGAGCTGTGATGAGTTGGTATGTGATAAGTTGTGATGAGTTGTGATGATTGTAATGAGAAGTTGTGATGTGATAAGTGGATCTGTGATGAGTGGTGATGATCTGTGTCTGTGTACGGCTGGCTGCCAGGCAAAAGGCAGCCGCGGGCCAGCGGCGGCCACCGCGCCGCAGCTCCGCCAGAAAGCTCTGTGTACTGCGCCTGCCACGCAAAAGGGAAGTGCGGAGGCTCTGTGTACCGCGCCTGCCAGGCAAAAGGCAGCCGCGGGCCAGCGGCGGCCACCGCGCCGCAGCTCCGCCAGGAAGCTGTGTACTGCGGCTGCCACGCAAAAGGGAAGTGCGGAGGCTCTGTGTACTGCGCCTGCCAGGCAAAAGGCAGCCGCGGGCCAGCGGCGGCCACCGCGCCGAAGCTTCTTCAGAAAGCTCTGTGTACTGCGCCTGCCACACAAAAGGGAAGTGCGGAGGCTCTATGTACTGCGCCTGCCAGGCAAAAGGCAGCCGCGGGCCAGCGGCGGCCACCGTGCTGGAGCTCCGCCAGGAAGGTTTGTGTACTGCGCCTGCCACGCCAAAGGAAGTGCGGAGGCTCTGTGTACTGCGCCTGTTCTGCGCCTGCCAGGCAAAAGGGGGCCGCGGGCCAGCGGCGGCCACCGCGCCGCAGCTCCGCCAGGAAGCTCTGTGTACTGTGACTGCCACGCCAAAGGGAAGTGCGGAGGCTCTGTGTACTGCGCCTGCCAGGCAAAAGGCGGCCGCGGGCCAGCGGCGGCCACCGCGCCGCAGCTCCACCAGGAAGCTCTGTGTACCCCGCCTGCCACGCCCAAGGGAAGTGCGGAGGCTCTGTGTACTGCGCCTGCCAGGCAAAAGGCAGCCGCGGGCCAGCGGCCACCGCGCCGCAGCTCCGCCAAGAACCTCTGTGTACTGCGCCTGCCACGCAAAAGGGAAGTGCGGAGGCTCTGTGTACTGCGCCTGCCAGGCAAAAGGCAGCTGCGGGCCAGCGGCGGCCACCGCGCCGCAGCTCCGCCAGGAAGCTCTGTGTACTGCGCCTGCCACGCAAAAGGGAAGTGCGGAGGCTCTGTGTACTGCGCCTGCCAGGCAAAAGGCAGCTGCGGGCCAGCGGCGGCCACCGCGCCGCAGCTCCGCCAGAAAGCTCTGTGTACTGCGCCTGCCACGCAAAAGGGAAGTGCGGAGGCTCTGTGTACTGCGCCTGCCAGGCAAAAGGCAGCCGCGGGCCAGCGGCGGCCACCGCGCCGCAGCTCCGCCAGGAAGCTCTGTGTACTGCGCCTGCCACGCAAAAGGGAAGTGCGGAGGCTCTGTGTACTGCGCCTGCCAGGCAAAAGGCAGCCGCGGGCCAGCGGCGGCCACCGCGCCGAAGCTTCTTCAGAAAGCTCTGTGTACTGCGCCTGCCACACAAAAGGGAAGTGCGGAGGCTCTGTGTGCTGCGCCTGCCAGGCAAAAGGCAGCCGCGGGCCAGCGGCGGCCACCGCGCCGCAGCTCCGCCAGGAAGCTCTGTGTACTGCGCCTGAGTGAGTGAGTGAGTGAGTGAGTGGAAGATGAAGAGGAGGCGGCGGAGGGCGAGGCGGAGGCGGAGGTAGCCCCGGCGGGATCCAAGCGAAAAACAAGAACCCCACACAGTGATGTGGGGAAAAAACAGAGACCTATTTTTTTTACAAACATAGAAAAGTAAAATACTACTACTGTTCCTGCTTCCAGGATCGGTAGGTGGTTATGTATACAAAAATTAGCCTGCTTAGCAGTTATCAAATTCACAATTTGGATCATTTGTATTAGAATTGGTATATGGGGGTTTCTGTAAATGGGGGTACCTCCATTATGGACCCCCCCCATATCCCTACTTACTAACTAACCCTTTGCCAGCAGGAGATCACCGAGGATGTTGTCCACCCAGAGGTTTCGGGAATAGCAGTCCAAAAGTAAGGCATTATATGAGACTATTGACGTTAATCCAAACAGGGTTGTGATAACCGATAACCTATATTTATTTGGGGATTAATAAAATATAGACGATAATCTTATATAGGATCACCCAAGAATAGGAGCCCACAATAACGGTTTATCCCAAGTTGTG